GCGCGCCTGCAGCGTCAGCTCAAAGGCGCGCAGCTGCTCGTGGTCGAAGGCGCGCTGCGCGAACACCACCCCGCTCTGCGCGCTCACGGACACGTAGGACGACAGCGCCCGTGGCTCCAGGTCGCTGGCCACGATGGAGTAGGTGATCTGGCTGTTGAGTCCCAGGTCGGGGTCAGAGGCGCTGACCTGCGCTATGGAGGCACCCGGTGGGTTATTTTCTGCCACGCGGACCAGATAAGAGGCCTGGTGGAAAACAGGAGCATTGTCGTTGACATCATCGATGTTTAAGGTGACACTTGTTTTGGAGGAGAGGGGAGGTTTGCCCTTGTCGGTGGCTGTGATGGTGATGTTGTATTCCGTAGTCTGCTCTCGATCTAGGGCTCCATCTGTCACCAACTTGTATGTATTTTTTGTATCTTGAACTATTTTAAATGGTGAGTTTCCATGTAGTTGGCATAGGATTTCCCCATTAAAGCCAGAATCCAGATCATGTGTTTTTATCAGGGCAACAACAGTCCCCAGCTCTACATCTTCTTGTATATGTTTAGATTCAGCATCCAAGGTTATCTCAGGAGCATTATCATTTTCATCCAAAATATCTATCTGTATTTTACAATGTGCTGTGTGACGTCCACCATCCTTTGCTTCTACCCCAATTGTATAGCGCTCTCTCTCTTCAAAGTCCAGTCTTCCACCAGTGGAGACTTCCCCTGTTTGACTGTTCAGCTTGAACAGCTGTCTCACTGCCTTACCAATGTTGATAAAAGTGTAGGTGATTTCGGCATTGATGCCTTCATCTAAGTCAGTGGCCATCACTCTTAGCACAGAGGAGCCAACTGGCAGGTTCTCTGGAACACTGACCCTGTAGGTGTCCTGGGTGAACACTGGGGGGTTATCATTTGCATCTGCTACAATCACCCTGATCTGGGTAGTGCAACTTCTGGCAGGCTCACCCCCATCCACAGCAGTGAGGACCAGGTGGTGGTAAGACTGCTCTTCCCTGTCCAGGGGAGCCTTCAGTACCAGTTCTGGGTACGTAGTGCCATCAGGGTTCTCTTTCTGGGTCAAAGAGAAGTGTGGGTTGGGGCTGAGGTAGTACTGCTGCAGGGAATTGACCCCTACATCAGAGTCTTGTGCGGATTCCAAGGCAAAGGTGGCTCCAGTTAGGGCCAGTTCACTGATTTCCAGTTCAGTGATATTTTGGCTGAAGGTCGGTGGGTTGTCGTTGACATCCTGAATCACCACGGCTATATGAAAAAAGTTCAAAGGCTTTTCAGCAACCATTTCGAATTCCAGAACGCAGGTTGACTTCTTGCCACAAATCTGCTCTCGGTCTATACGGTCGCCCACAAGTAAGTCCCCGTTCTCGGTGTTCACTGTAAAGAATTTCTTCTTGGCACTAATCCGCAGGTTCTGAGTAGGCAAATCTCGCACACCAAGCCCCAGATCCTTGGCGAGGTTCCCCACCAGCGAGCCCCTGGCCACCTCCTCGGGAATCGTGTAGCGGATATGCTCGGCGAGCGCCGGGCAGAACAAAGGCAACAGGAGGAGAAAGGGCATTCGCCTCCGCCCAGCCTGGCCCTGCGGTCCCCAGCGGTTTCCCATCCCGCTTTCTGAGCGTTTTCCTTACTGATTCCGAGGAGCAGCGATCGATCCCTAAATAATCCCAAGAATTCTCTGAGCAAGAGTGATTCCTTGATTTGTCTTGGCAGGCAAATTCTCTGATAGCTAGCTTCTCTGCGGAGAGCCGGAGAGTGCACAGTTCTTCCGATTCCTCGGTCTGATGGCGATTCCTTTTCAGTCAAGAGCCGACACTTCGCTCAGTACTAGCCGACAGCGGCACCCCGCGTCTCGGACGCAGAACTGCAGTAGTGGTTACTAAATCAGCTCCAAATCGGAGCCGCCTAGAATACAATTCCACTGTGTCCTGATGCAGATACTTTTCTTCCCATTTTACAAGGATATAACATTTTAAATGTTTACTATATCTTCGGTCTGGTTGTCATTTCTTTGAATGTGAACTGTACTCATCCAAATTAAGTGAGTTTTACTCGTCAGAGAGCAGAAGTACCTTGCTGAAGATATGTATTGACATAGTTGTGCTTTTAGTTTTCATTGCCATAAAATGGTCATAACAACATATTCCCTGCTTACCTTAGTAGAAATGAGGGCAAAATAAAATAATATATAGGAAGTAATACAAATGAAATAGTGTTGGTGGTGGCAGATGGTGTAATTCGTAAATTCTTAAAATGACAATTTGTATGGTTATTCCACTCTAGTTTCTTTTCTTGTTACTTATAAAATTAATAAATCTCATAGCTTTTAGTTTTATCCTATGCCTCACTTTCGTCTATCTTATCTTTATCATCTTCTTCCCAAAGTAATTGATAGATATCAAGGAGGTTGGTGGTCTTTACAAAATAGAAGTATGGTAAGAAGCAAGATACTCTATTTTCCTTAGTTTCCAAGTGTCTACTGCCAATTAAATGATTGTGATTTAAAAATTATACTACTCATTTTATTTTTCTGCAATACATTACTGTCATCTTTAATTGCATTGTTTCTTCTCAAGTATCTTAACAGTGGTGAGTTATTCGGATTATGGGGGTGAAGTATGAGACTAATGATTATATATCCCAAAGAGAGTAATCTATGTTGTCCACTTTTCTTTGGGCCCCAGGTCATACTTTGATAATTATTGACACTTTCTTTGTCAATAAGCATGCCAATTTCCATGTTTCTGATGGATGTATTACAGTTTCTATTCCATTTTCAAACTAGAAATATTCATAAAGAAATTGTTTTAAACCTACATAACGTCATTCTAAAATTTGACAGGTGTGTAGCAATGTTGAACTCATAATGGAATACTATTAGAGAAACTTAAACTGCTCATTGTATTTAGCATTCTAGACAGAAACTCATTAGCATCTCTATACAAACATAAAAACATTACTTACTCAAGACTTTGTTCCAAAACATGACTAAGTGCCTTTCCACCACATATGAACACTTCAATTAGTACAGGAAAGTTATTTTTTTCAGAACACACATGAAACTAAAGATTTAAACATTTTAAGAGTATGTGGTATAGAGTATGTACACATGCGGAGTGTGTAAATCAAGCATTTTATTATGTAAAGTATACTTAAAATATACTCATAAAATTTAAGACCCATAGACCAGGATTTTATTAAGAAAAATCTATTAATTTAAGATAAGCACAGCCCCTGATGAATGAGTTGTAAACATTGAAACCATTGTAAAGTTGCATTGATTTTCCAAACACAAATGTAAAGTTTATCCAAGTTTATAAAGTCTATAGAGGTTTAAAAGGTATTTCTCCATTGCATGAAAAAGTTAACTCAGGACACATACCCAACTCTATAACCTTTTCTTTAAAAAATGCAAAAGAGAGTTTTTATATAGAAGTGAATGATACCAGTATCTATCATACAGATTCTCTTGTTGCTCTTTAGATGCACTCACTATTCAGTGAGTCTGTACATTTTACATGAAGGTCAGAATTGTCTATATATAGACATAATTAGATCCTCTTCAAATAAATGTTTAAAAAGTATTTAAAAATAAAAACCAAGTGGTCCTATGTTCCCAAATGTATCAACAAACCTTTGATATGGTTGAGTAATATAGCCTATTATCCCATTAATATTTTATTTCCATTTCCTCCCATTTATTAATACGTTGTAGCTGATGTTCAAACTGTTGAAAGCACAAAATTTGAAAGATAAAAAAAATCTTTTGAAAAGAAGCTTCTGAAAATCATCTCTAGTAAATCAGATGCCAAAAGTGAATAGGGTAGTTCTTCCATGACACAACATATACTCATAAAATGTGAGACCCAGAGACCTGCCTTTTATTAAGAAAAATCTTAATTTAAGTTAAACATAGCCCTGATAAATTAGTTTTACAATTTGAAACAATTTAAAAGTTGAATTGACTTTCCAAACACAAATCTTAGTCTCTTATAATAAAGCAGAATTATATGCAAATATTCAGGTAGATATTGATTCTGAAAAGTGAAAGGGTTACCTGTAACTAGAAGGTGCCAGGTATGTGGCATATTTGAATTTGATGAATGTAGTGATATCTAAATCTTTGGAGATTTTAAACTGCATCACAGAATAAAGCACAATTGTAAGGCCCCTCACTGATTTCTTCTCTCAACTAATTCACACATCTAATAATTTCATGGTTTAACCCAAACTTTCCAGATTTCAGAACTCCACAAACATTATCATCAATATAAATTTAATCTTTTTTCTCACATTTCTCATGCAGACTTTTTCTGTATTTTTCCAGTGATTTATTAAAATATGTAAATTATTTCCTTATGCAAACAGCAGATATGCTAAACCATAATATCCTTTCTAAAACATATTCACAATTGGTGTTTAGGCAAATATTCAAAAGAAAACATTATCTAACAGTTAAACTAATCAAACAAGATAATAACAGTTCTGAGTATAAGAAAGTCTTTGTGTGAAGTGATTATGTTTAACCACTTCTAAAGTACTTGTTTAAAAAATAATAAAGTACTCTTTTCATTTAAGTGTATGGATATCAGCTAGATTTCCTAAAATATCCACATATTGAAAAAATAAGATACTATACCCAAAATATAATTTGATAACAAATGGAGAAAGCATTAATTATCAAATTACACTAAGCTAATCTCTAAATAAAGCAAATAATGATTCACTATTTACATAATTAACCTATTTGAATGTGGAAGAAAAATAACTGAGGAAACAAATGAACAAAATACTCTAAGCATCCCTACTAAGAAAGAAAACTCACCTGAACAACTTCTAGTTCTTCATTTGCATTTATCTTCTCTGATATCAGAAGAGGCTCGCTTTTCGCACAGCTCTCCTGGCTGATGAGTGTGTCAGCATAGTTGGGTTGGGGGAAGATCAGGTGACTCTTCCCTGAGTCAGCAGTGAGGCAGACCTCATGGGAATAGGTCTGCAAGAAAGCCCGCACCCCGTCCACGTCCATAAAGTGCGAGGCAGGTACGCCCACCAACCCACCTCCAGAACTCTGCAGATGGCGTGACGTGTGCCAGCGCCTCAGCCTGAGTGCCAGCAGGATGATGACAAAGGCGAGAAAGACGCAGGAGACCGCAGCCACTGCCACCACCAGGTACAGAGTGAGGCTGGAGTCATCAGGGTCAACAGACGGCTCCAGATTGCCCAGGTCAGCCAGGACATCTGGGATGCTGTTAGCCACAGCCACGGTGAGCGTGACTGTCGCTGAGAGAGGGGGCTGGCCATGGTCCTGGACCACCACCACCAGGCTCTGCTTGAGCGCGTCTCTGTCCAGCAGAGCCCGTGCAGTGCGCACCTCGCCAGTGTGCAGCCCCACCATGAAGAGCCCTGGCTCACTGGCCTTTAGCAGACGGTAGGACAGCCAGGCGTTCTGGCCTGAGTCTCTGTCCACTGCCACCACCTTGGTCACCAGGTAGCCAAGCTCTGCGGAACGTGGTGCCAGCTCCACACCGGTGGAACCATCAGTGGGAAGTGTGGGGTAGAGGATTTCAGGAGTGTTGTCATTCTGATCCAACACGAACAGGCTCAGTGACACATTACTGCTAAGTGGAGGGTCTCCACTGTCGCTGGCTGTCACCCACAGTTGCAGGTCTCTAACCTGCTCATAGTCAAAAGAGCTCAGTGCATACAGAACACCGGTGTCAGAGTTTATGGAGACAAAGGAGGAAAGAGGCGTTCCCTGAAACGTGTCCTTGGCTAGAGAATAAGTGACCTGAGCATTGTTGCCACTGTCAGGGTCATTGGCGGTCACAGAGAAGATTGAGATGCCTCTGGGATTGTTTTCTGGAATATAGGTAGAGTATGACATCTGAGGAAAGATGGGAGGATTGTCATTGATGTCTGCCACTTTTAGGGAGATGTGGTTTTCTGTAGACAGGGGTGGGTTTCCACGGTCAATGACAGTTATTGTGATGTTATAATCTGAGATCTCTTCTCTGTCCAGGGTTCTAGTTGTCAATAAATGATAGTAATTATCAACTGATTTTTCCAATTTAAAGGGCAAGTTCCCAGAGATAGAACATGCAATCTCCCCATTCTCTCCAGAATCACCATCATGTACACTAAACAACGCAATTACAGTTCCAGGAAGACAATCTTCAGAGACGGAACTGGCGAGAGAGGTGAGGATCATTTCCGGGACATTGTCATTCACATCCTGTACTGTGACCACCACCTTAGCGCTGGCAAGGAGAGCACCTCCATCCTGAGCTACCACTTCCATGAGGTAGAATCTGGACTCTTCATAATCCAGTGACTGCATTGTTGAAATTTCACCCAGGTTGGAATCAAGTTGGAAAGTCTGTGAAATTTTGTCTTCTTCATTGCGAAAAGAGTAGGTCAATTTTCCATTTATTCCCTCATCTGGATCCGTGGCGGTTAGCGTGAGCAGCCGAGTGCCCACAGGTATGTTCTCTGGAACACTCACTCTGTACTCGGATCGAGTGAACTGGGGCGCGTTATCGTTTGCGTCGAGGACCATCACGCGGATGTGCGTAGTGCTGGAGAGTATGGGGTCTCCGCCATCTAAAGCTGTGAGGAGGAGGTTGTGAACAGCCACTTTCTCCCGGTCCAAGGGCTGTTCCAGTACCAGCTCGGGATATTTTTGTCCATCACTTCCACTTTTCTCATCCAGAGAGAAGTGCATATTGGAACTGAGCTGGTAACTCTGGAGGGAGTTCACACCCACATCCGCATCTCGAGCAAAGGGAAGCACTAACCGTGTCCCTGTAGCAGCATTTTCATTAACTTTTACTTTTACTTCCTCATCGCGGAAACGTGGGAAGTTATCATTAATGTCGATTATTTCTACTTCTACGCCATAAATTTTCATTTTATTCTCAACCAAGATGTTAAAACTCACCAGACACCGCGCGCTCTGAGCGCAGAGCTCCTCCCTGTCTATCCTGCCCGCGGTGACCAAGCTGCCACTTCCTGGGTTCAGAGCAAAAAGCTGAGTCCTACCTCTAGAGACGATGCGGACTCCTCGCTCCGCCAGTTCCTGAGGCTCCAGCCCGAGATCCTTGGCGATGTTGCCCACGAAGGAGCCTTTGTCCAGTTCCTCCTGCACTGAGTAGCGGATCTGCCCGGCCCTGGCTCCCCGCTGCATCCCCAAGAACAGCAGGAGCAGGAGCAGCTCTCTGCAGCCCCAGCCCCTCAGAGCATCCGCCATTGCCTTCTTTCCGACCGGTTTTCTCTTAGTTCTGGTTCCTGCCTGCTGTTTCCTTACTTCTTAAAAGCCAAAGAGTACAAATTCCTTGTTGGAAATGGGAGAGAGGCGCGGGTAGAAGGCTTTTTCCAGGAGCTTGTCCTTCCTGTGTGTGTTTAGTGCGGAAGAAGCTGAGAGTCGGGTCGCATCTAGCAGCAGCTTCTTTCCCACTTTGGTGAACAGCGACGCTCAGAGTCCTAACCAGTTACTACACCAATTCTGTTTTCATATCCTGTTTTATTTTATTTCTAATAATTTGGCCGCATCCTTCACGTATTACTGCGTGACACTGTTTATATTTGATTAAGGTTTAATTTTGAAATAGCAAGACCCATAAACCCCTGAGATCAATATAATAATTAGATTATTTTTACTCTTTAGAAAAGTTTTATTTAATGTGCCATTGAGCCTATGTCCTTTATTTACTTTTTACCTAAATTGAGTCCATTGAATTAGAACATTGTAAGTCTTACTTTTGTAGGTTTTAATATTTCATCGTTGTATTAAGATATATTTATGAAAACTTGCCCATTTGTACATCAAGAATGCCAAGGAAATAAGTCTAGCTCTCAATGCACCTTTGCAAAAAGGTCTACTGATTTATGCAAATTGTATTAGTTGTCATATGCAGAAAGAACTGAGGGTTCATTTTGTTACATGTGAGGTCTTTGAGAAAGTTTCCAGTTTTTCACACTAGAAATAAAGCAGTTACACTATATTAGACTGAGAGTTTGAGTTGGGTTAGCTATGCATTATGCATATTTTCCTATTACCATGTCTAAATTGGAGTCAGACATCATACAGTGACAGGCTCTTGTGGGGAGGGAATCTATATAGTGACTTTAGCAAATGGCTTTAGTTCATCATCCATGCAGAAAATATGTCTATAACTTAACAGTGAGCAGGCAGCCCACTGGACTTTCTATGTTGAGGAATATATTTAAAGTTATCACCTTTATATAGTAGCAAAACCTCATGATTAAAAAAATGGACATGTTGGGGAGTCCATTATGTGAGAGAAGCTATTTTTACTAAATGGTACCTTCATAGGGAATTGAAAAATTAAGATATTCTATATCTATAAATAGAAAATTCAGAAAATGAAGTTTTAAGTACAGAATGTGAGTATAGGTTACAAAATTTTTTTCAAAGTACAGTTTTCACAAGAGCAATTTGTTACTATACATGAGAGAAAAATAATTCTTCCATTATTAAGCACACTGTTAGTAGCAGATACCACAGACCTCAAACTTTGTCCATCCTTTTAAAATAGATCTGGAATCCCAGACACTTAGCTTGCAAAGACACTTAGATTGCTGGTGTGTTTAGGTCAGTCCTACCCATGTTCTGCTGTTGACAAGCCATGACACTTGGGACAATTTTTCCTTTCTTTAGTTCCAAGTTTTCCCAAACTAATAAGATGGGAAGCTCCTTTACTCTGAAATAATATAATTTAAAGAGGAAGTGAAACTAAAATTTGAGTAATAAAAGCCCTGAATATGAAATAAATAGTTTAAGATGCCAATAGTATTAAATCTTCAGAGGCAAGGATTGTAAAGATGAGGAAGAAAGAGAAGTATCTCATTTGGTAAAGCCTTGTAATTCTGAACAAATAACTCTCACATATTAGATAGAAAACCACGTCAAGATTTGGTTAGATAAAATTAAGATAATTAGGGCAGAAAATTGCCTAAATTCAATCCACACGACAATTAAATCTGAAATGAAGACTCCTATTCCACATGGTGCTTTATCAATAAACATTAGAACCCAAAGTGAAAATAAGTTAAAACTCACCTTTAAAATAGTATCTGAGGCAAATGGTTCCTCAGTATCTCCATGATTTGTACTTGGTACCCAAGAGGCATCTTCGCAGAGGAGATCCTGAGGGGGAGCCACTTCCGGGGTTATGTTGAGAAAATTAAACTCTGTCTTAGCTGACTGTGAGGCAACACACAGATTGTAGGAATAGGGCAAAGTCCCCTCACTGTAATTGGGGAGAACCCCAGGTCCAGACTTAGTATTGAGACCAGGCTGAAAGCAGCCCCAAGTAGCGGCACTGGAGGAGCGTCGCAAGCGCAGGGCGACCGCCAGAATCACCGCGAGAAGGAAAAGCACTGAGATCAAGGCCAAGGCCACTACCAGATAGAACTGCAGCTCAGCCTGGGGGTCAGAGGGCATAGGACTTTCGCTGAGATCCGGAAGGGCCTCTTGTAGGCTGTCAGCAAAGACCAGGAGCAGCGTGGCGGTGGCTGAGAGGGGTGGCTGTCCCCCGTCCCGCACGGCCACCAGGAGGCGCTGGCGGGCCGCGTCCCTGTCGCCCAAAGGTCTGGCCGTGCGCACCTCGCCGGTTCGCAGCCCCAGGCTGAACAATCCGGGCTCGCTGG